CCGAAATATGTGAAGCAAAAAATGAACAATTATTTTTTGAAGGTTTAGGAAAATTAGATGAAATTATACAATTACCTGATGGATATTTAATGGCAGCAAGAGTTGGAATATTATTAAGAGGTTTAGGTACTTGGTTACAATTACCTCATTCGACAGCACAAAAATGGGCACCAGTTGCAAAAAAATTATTAGATAAATATAAAGATGTAGATGAACAGTCATTAAATAGTTCTGTATTAGTCGGTTATTCTTAATAGGAAACTTAATCAAGTGATTCTTTTTATTTTCTATTATTATTGTTTGTTTGTTTTTTAATACAAGTAAACTAATTGATATAAAAAGAATTATGTTTTATTTTTTTAATAAACTAGCAAATGATTTATTTGAGAGTTTATATTGTATTTAGAAAAAAAAAGTGGATGAACAGAATATTTGGCTTCAACTAATCTAGTCCTAGTAATTTTAGGCTTTTTGAGTCTCAATCTAGAGACAACTACTTAAGATTTTATTCGTATCACATCTAAAGAAAATTCTTCAATACTTGTTCTTCAATTTATTTAGTCGGTGACTAACACGTTCTGTGGATCATCTCTCTGGAATTATGTTCGAATTTATATGATTCATAAGATAATTCGCTTAAAACTATAGAATATTTCACTATAATCTTTAGTTCCAGTTAGAACAATTAATATCCTGAATGGTTACGTTTTTTCAGATTCGAGCCGAAACTAATCGACATCCAACATATACTTTCACAGTTATGATACTGTTTTCAAATTTTTACTCTATAGAAAAAAAAATATACTGTTTAGTTTCTTTCATAAACAGCAAAAAAAAGAGATCATCTCAAATTCCACAAAAAAGACAACTGATTTTGAATTCACCTAGTGTCTTTCTGCTTCTCAAATCAGATCAATTGCGCAAGTGTATATTTGCTTGTTGCTAATGATGCTGGAATAGAACGGACTATTGGTGTCCAATGACATTTTTATGGACACATACATGAACAGTTTTTCCATCATAATAATACAATTACTCGATCATGATCGAATCGGTTTTTGTTACTGCTTTTATATATACAGCAGTTTGAAAAAGTAACAATATTTTGAAATGTCGAGATTTCATATTTTACAAGGACGGATGCCATATATGATTTCAAACCAAGATTCAATCTAGTTGCAGGACACTAGGGATAACTTTTTTCTCATAGTTCCGATCTCGATTTCCAAAACAAATTTTTCTTTTTTTTTGTTTTCGGAAATATTTACAAACATATTTTATCGACGTTCTACGTAATGTAATATTAGCATGCGAGATCATCTACTCAATGTATGACGACAGAAGTTGCTGAACGACTTGTTTAAATGTTTGCATCAAATATATATCTATAATATTTGATGACAGTAAAACAAAATATCTATAACACTTAGTTCTTCAGTTATTTTAGTTAATTATTTTTCATTTTGAATCATTCAAGTAATATACGATCAATTTTATTGGAGCACGCACTCATTATTAAGATTAGATAAGTCTTGGACGATCTCTTATTTGAAGTTCCTGCAAGTATCGTTGATGATATTTTGACCATGAGAAATTTATGAGATATGTAGTGCTGTCTTCATTTTCCATATTATTAAGACAAATTGAATGCAAATGTGAGCCACATTCATCATTGTGTTCTCATGGTGTGTATTGCGATAATAGGATTCGACGTGCTCTTTTACACAGTTAAAATAAAATATAATGAAAACGAGTGAGAAACAACTTTGATAAAAGTATTTCATCACGTTTATTAGTAACATGTTCTTGTAATAAAGATGTCAGTTAAAGTAAAAATAAGTTCTAAATGATAACTTATTGTCAGTAAAAATCGTACACGCGCGATAGGGACATCTCTCATTGAATTATCAATTTTTCTTATGCACTTGGTCTACATTAAAGAGGTCTGTGCGCCATTCTGATTGAGGTTTTAATGATTTAGTGTGACCGCTTGCTGATTTAAAACGAAATTAATATGTATAATTCGCTTTTGTAGTGTGTTTGACCCTATTTACATTTTCTTTTTTCTTTTCTTTCGATCATTTTTCCCTCAATAGCGTGTGTATTATAAGAGGTGAGAAGAGAATTTTTCCAATAGTGATGAATTATTCATTTTGCTTATATAAAGCTTGTTTTAATGTCACATGTGACAAAATTTTCAGGGAAAAAAACTATAAGGATTATGAATAATAATTTAAAGCAGTGATTATAGTCGCATTCAACTTCGAATACCATTGATCAAAAATACAAAGCTATAGATGACGATGAAGATTTATATAAAATCTTATGGTTTATTTGAGCAAGAAAAATAAATCTTCGTTAATATCATTCGATTGAACAATTTGCTTTGCAGAATGATTGATGTTAGTTAAAATTAAAAAAAATTGTATATAATAACAGTAACTTTCATCTAATATATATGTAAATAGAAGTTGATGAAGTTTGGTCTGTTTTTTCAATTAACTCTTTGAGGACGGACTTTTTTTTATAAAAGAAATAAAGTTCTACAGTCAAAATCAATTATAATCTGAAAAGTATTACTAATCATGATTTTCATATTGCTTTTTACTGTCAAGAGACAAATAGAGAACTTTGAGAGAGAAAATTAAAAAAAATACATCAATAATCTACTCTAACAAATTAAGTATCTTATGTTTCTACTCAAGCTTTCAAATCGTATATATACGGTCTTCGCCCCACAAGAGTTATGCATCGCATGTTGAAAACGAGAACAGCAAGAAATAACTGTACAGAAACTTTTTCTCTGAGAGTAGCCAATAAATAGCTAAAATTTTGATCCTTCACTTGTTTATATTCACAGAGAGTCCTAGATATTGGCGAAAAACATCACGGGTCCACGTTTTTATGGAACCGTAGCTCTATAGTTCAAAGTTGTTTACATTTTCAACCACAATTAGATTCACTAT